GCCGCCGGCCCGCCGTGTTTGTTCAGTTTACGGGAACACAACCGGACAGCAAAACAGATGCTCCGCAACCCATTAAAATGGGCCACCTGTTTTTCACATCATGCCCCATCTCAAAGCTGGTTTTCTTCATTATATCCCTCCCAACAGACACCATGAAATACATCACTCATTTAGATATGGGAGCCGACCTCTGGAGGACGACTTGCGCGGAGGGCTTTGATGTTGAGAGACAGATTGCAAAAGACAGAAAGCCCCTTTCCATGTTTCTAATTACCCCGAGCCCAGGGTCTGCCGCTCATTGGGGTGGCGGTGGCGGGGCGAGGCGGGCGGGAGGCTCTGCCCTGCCCTGCCTGGCCCGGCAGGGCGAGGAGGGGCTGCCAGCCTCCTTATACCGCGCTGCCAGAAAAGCCGACACGGGTACGTAAACACAGCTACCGACTTAAATCAACAGCGAGCTGCAGCTAACAGCAAACAGCCCGTGCCGGCGTGAAAACGGGGCAAAAAAAAAAAATTCTGCATCCCCACCCGCACCCCCGCCCTCCCTGCCGCTGAAGATTTAGGGGTAGACCAAATCTGCTCCCGCAGCCAAGACTTTTGCAAAACGGTGCGCTGAAAGCATTACAGAGCTTGCTAACACTTCAGCTCACATGCGAGCCTTTTATCTCGGCAGCGCAGTTGGAAAAGCTGAATCACCGCGGAGGGAGTGAGGACTGAAGGGTATTTTTTCATATGCATCAGGCTGCACTTTATTTGATCTTCACAGTCCCCATTTCTATCAATATTGCTAAAGCTGAGGGATCAAACACGGAAAAATTAAAACCATGCTAGTATGCTAAAGAAGATTAAGATCGTGGCAATATATTGACTGCTCCTTGGGGAAATCATGTTGTTGGCTGCAGGAACCATGGCTGTCAAGGAGGGAAAGCTTGTGCTTCAGGAATGGGCAATGGGGAAGAGGTTTGGGAGCCTGCATCCAAACTCAGCCAGGAACAATCTCAAGTGCCCACGATCCTAACGCCCCTCTGTGCTCCCAGCCCGGCTGCATGGCCATCACCCATCCAAGGAGTCCATGCAGTTTGCCAAGCTAAGCCAAACTGTCCCCATTTTTACACCCACAAGCAAGCATCTTCAAGTGAGTCCCACTGCAGGTCTCAAGAGATTTCAACTCCAGGCCCCAAAATAGGAGTGCCACATTTTCAAGTGTGGATAGCTTCAAGATCTCACTTAAAACCCCCAACTGGAAACATGTATATGGGAGGTTTGGAGCTTCTGCTGGGGAAGATTGTTCAATCCGGAATTGTTCTACGCTCACATCATTCCCCTTTGACCCTTAGGAGTTAATTTATTTTGAAAAGATTTAATAACCTTTTGAATTCCTGGCCACCTGTTCTGGCTGCTTATGTGGAAGGAGAGCTTTTTTTTTTCAGAAAGCCCAGCCTCAGCTCTGAGGCCAGAAGTCCCTTGAAAACATAAGTCCATGTCCTGCATGCCTTTTCAGTGAGAGCTCCTCCATGTCCAACCTCCCCATCATTCTCTGCTTTGCCAAGGTCTTATCACCTTTCAGCTCAGGGTGGAAACCACCTCTTTCCTCAGGGAAAGGGGGCCAGTGGTGGGCCCTTGCATGTGTATATTTTGTAGCCATTTTTCTTACATGGCAAAATCTTTGTAGAGCTTTCTACTTTAAACAAGATGTCCTTTTTTTTTTTTTTAATGTTGTTTCTTCCTTTTCTCTCAGGAAACTCTCTCCCTTGTGTATTTGCAGCAAACTGAGATGCAGCCAATTGTATTAGTTCTGGCTGGAGCAAAAAAGGCATAATGAAACACTGGATGTGTAGTGTGAGTCCAAAATAAATGGTCACAAGTAGAGCCAGTAAAAACCTGCAAGCACAGACAGTCTGTGAAAAAGGAAAAGCTTGGACTCTACCTGCAGTGCTCTGCATTTTTCCAAAGGGAAAAATGAACTTGAGGTTTAAAGAGCTTGGGAAGAGACGCTGGGGCACTGTGCCTTTTGATTGCATTTGTGAATTGTGATGATGCTTGCATTTTTTTGTGAATACAGCATCTGTAAGTGGGAGAAGGTGTTTTATCTTCTGTTTTAACCTGTATTCTCAAAGTGCAGCAGTTTGGTTTTTATGTGCCAGATGTCAATGTGCCCTGATTCTTCAGGCAGTCGGGATTAAAGCTTTCCAGTATCAGAGTGGTGTTACAAGGATAACTCCATTAATGTGTGTAGAAATCTGGTACTGCAGCGATAAAGACCCTGTAAATATTTACACAGACAGGCAAGCTCATGGAAATTTTACATTATTAGCTTAACTTCATTACAAGGAAGCAGTTGAGAAAGTAAGTGGTGCATTACATTTGCTTTTCTTTTTATTTAAACATTGACAATATATCAGGTGCTGCTTCAAGCCAGAAGATTCAGGGAGTTGCTGCTCTAAATATTTCACAGTCTGCAGGGAAATACCAAGTCTCAAGCAAAGAAAAAAAAGTAACATAGCTGCTATAAGAATAAATCTTGCCAGTCAGACCTAGAGTTAATAAAATAGTGGGTAAAGAACAACCAGAGGATATACTTTATTTGGACATTCAAAAACCTTTTGATAAACACCCATAGAAGAAACTGTTAAAGACACTTGGTAACCATGAAGTGAGAGGTAAAGTCCTGTCAGGGATTAAAATTGTGTTATAAATGAGTATGGAATAAATGGCCAGCTCTAGTAGGGAAAAAAATAATGAAGTGCCCTTGAGAGCAGGACTCAGACCAATATGGTTTGATGCTTTATTAATAACCTGGGGGTGAATAGTGAAGTGGCAAAAGTTGATTTCAATAGAAAAGTACTTAGCTTAGGTCAAGAGCTACTTCAAAAGAATTTAATAAAATGGCAGGACCATGTGCAGAAGTATGAGAGCAGCTTGGAAAGTGCCTTCAAATCCTACAGCAGTGCTGTTGCTCCTCCTGGCAGTGGGCCTGTCCCACATGTCTACAAAGGTGAGGGTAAGGTAAGCTGAGGACAGACTGATGTTTTCAAGCTTTGAATTATAGAATGGTTTGGGTTGGAAGTGACCTTCATCTACTTCCAATCCCCTACCACAGGGGCAGGGACACGTCCCACTAGACAAGGTTGCTCAAATCTGCATCCAACATGTGTTGGACACTTCCAGGGATGGGGCATCCACAACTCCTCTGGGCAAGCAGTTCCAGTCTCTCACCACCCTCACAGATAAGAGTTTCTTCTTAATGTCTGGGCCTAAGTCTACTCTCTCCCAGTTTGAAACTGTTCCTGCTTGTCCTCTCACTACAAAACCTTGCAAAAAGTCCCTCCCCAGTTTTCCTGTAGCCCCTTTAGGTACTGGAAACCAGATCTTTGTCCCCCTTCTCTGGACTGAAGAACTCAAACTCCCTCACAGCCTGTCTTCATGGGGGAGATGCTCCAGCCCTCTGATCATCTTTGTGACCCTCCTCCAGACTCACTTCAAAAGCTCTATGTCCTTCCTGTGCTGGGGCTCCAGAACTGGACACAGTACTCCAAGTGGGGTCTCACAAGAGCAGATTAGAGGAGGAGAATCCCCTCCCTTGACCTACTCGCCACACTACTTTGGATGCAGCTCAGGACACAGTTGGCTTTCTGGGCTACAAGTGCACTTTGCTGGTTCATGTTGAGCTTCTTACTAACCAACAGCCCGAAGTCCTTATCTTTAGGGCTGTTCTCAATCCATTCTCTGCCCAGCCTGTAATTGCTATTGGCATTTCCTTGACCTATGTGCAAGACCTTGTTGAACTTCATGCAGCTTGCACTGGGCCACCTCTCAAGCCTATCAAGGTCCCTCTGGATGTCCTCCCTTCCCTCCCGTGTGCAGACTGCACCACACAGCTTGATGTTATCAGCAAACTTGCTGAAAGTGCACTTAATTCCACTGTCTGCATCGTCAACAAAGATGTTAAAACAGCACCAGTCCTCGTACCAGCCCCTGAGGAGCACCTCTCATCACTCGGACATCAAGCTGTTGACTGCAACTCTTTGAGTGCAGCCATTCAGCATCTCAGGTACTTTTTCACTCCTCCCATTTGCTGCCCAGATCGCCTAGTTCGTTATGCCAGGAGGAAAGAATGAGCTTCCACACGGCAGGCATCTCTACCAGGCTGTGCATACCATCCCCATGAGTTCCTCCAGTAATTGTTTAAAAAAGCTGCTGTCCCGTGGGTGATCCTTCCCTGAGGGCAGGCTAAAAGCTCTAGGTCGCCTCTCATGGGCATTTCCAAAATTACGTGTTTGGTGTGATGAGAGTGACATGGTAGCAAGCCTCAAGTCTGCTTACTCCAAGAACATAAGCTCTTGGGTGTTGCCTGGCACCTCGAAAAATAAAACCTGCCAGCATAGTTGGGGTGCAAATGTCTATATGCAAATAGTAGTCACATCATCTAGTGTGTAAAAGGGTGAAGGCACAGGCAGCTGCCTGAACTTACTGCCACTGAGGTTCTGGGTGGATTGTTTAGGAGAGTTGTTTACTCTGTGGCTTTCTCTTCCCACTGATGAACTCTTGCAGTGTGGCTGTGCCTTGGTGGACCGTGGTGTTGTGAACTGCAGCATCATGACCCGGTGCAGACCTGAATTCACACTGCAAGTGGTTTATTTGAGTCTGGTATGCAGACAAATGTACTTTACCAGCACTCCAGATGACATCTGATGGTATCTTTGTGTAATTTCATTGCTGTCAGTCCTCTGTTCCAACTGTTCTGTCTGCAGTCCCAAGGCCAGAATGTCACCGTGCCACCCAAACACAGTGCAGGCTCCCCTGGTTTTTGGAGTTAACGACATTCATGGCAACTCAAATGGCTGTTTTTCACAGAGATTTATTATTGTTTTGTTTTTAGCCAGTGGGTCATTTCCAAGGATACTCTTCTGGAAAAAAATGCAACTCATAAAGAAAGATTTTTTTAAATCCTCTTGATATGACTTGTCAAGTATTTTGAAGTACCAGGCACAAAAGAAATTGTTCTTAAATCCCTTCTTTCATCTGGTGCTTTATATTACAGTAGAAATTCCCCATGTCCTCAGCATCAGGACCCCAGAGGAGTAGGTGGAGTGCCAGTGCTGCTCAGGGAGCTCTATTCCCAAAGGCAATCAGAAGCTGTCACACTCTGGTTTTGAAGTCCAAGTTGAAGTTGAAGTTCTATCCTGCAGCACCCAGGAGATGACACAGGGCTTCCTCCTCCTGGTGTCTTTAACCATCACCATCACTTTCTGTGTGCCATCCACAGAAAAGCTTTGGGAGTTTGTTCTGAGGAATCAAGATAGGCCAGGGTCTGGGGCAACCCATGGCTCAGGGCAGCATTAAACCAAGAAAGATTAAAGTATTTTACCTCAAACTGCAGAGGCAAAGACCTGGCCTTTCCCTGGCAACGGCTGCCCTCTGCCTGCCTCACTGCCCTGGCAGGTACAGTTGGCACCCCTGTGTCTGTAGCTCTCATTGCTCCATGCTCTGCTTCTGGCCTTCCTGACCAAGCTTCCTTGTGGCAGCACACCCCCTTCTGCCTCCAGGCAGCAAGCCCCTCTGGTCATTTTTTTTTGCTCCTTCCTCTTGCCAGCAGAGAAAATGGCACTTTCTCAACCCTGCCCTCCTCTTCTTCCTCCTTCCCCAGGGTTTTGAGGGCTGCAGTGACCAGCTACAGCGATCAGACCCCTTCCAGCAGGACAATGATGATTCCTTTCCTCTTGGCTTCCAGAACAATTAGCAAAGGCTGGCATTTTGTTAATCCAGACATAATCACCACCAATGCTTTTATTTTAATTACTCTGTTTCCATAGTCTCAAAGAGTTTTAGGAGCTGTGAGATGCGGGTATTTTGCCAGACCATAAAATCCTTTGCAGCAGTAGTAGTTTTTTATAGGGCCTAAGCAATTTTGGATTAAAATCAGAAATGCAAGAGCGAGACTGGAGAGCTACAGAAGGATGTTTTCTGAATCTTAGTTGTTCCAGCAGCACAGAGTAATGAAAAGGATTAGGAGCAGCAGAGTACTTTGTACTCTGATGATGATTTCTTGTGATCCACTATCTCACAAAGAAATGGCAAAGAGGAAGACCTGGATCTGTAATTTATTCCTCTGCCTTTGGTATTTGCCTCCAAAGATGCTGGCAGTATAATTGCAGTAATGGTTCTTGGAGATGGGAATGTGGTACTTTCTACCCAGGACTGTATCCACAAAAGATGTCAGGTCGCTTTACAGCCTCTTGTTTGAATAGACAAGATGTTTGAATTGTTTCTCAGTCACTAAAAAAAAAAAAAAAAAAAAAAAAAAAGACAAGGGAACACTTAAAA